TAAAATCAACAGTACTTGGTAACTGGATATGGAGAGTAAAAAGAAAGGATGAGTCCCCAGTTCTGCCCAGCCTGTAAGGCCCAGCTGAATTATAACCTGTTTTAATTTATTCACCTCACTACTCGTTAAAATAAATATCTATTTTTTAGTCTTATAAAATGTCATATATGCCTTTATTATATCGTTGATTTCTTTTTACTGGTAGTTATTTATGTGCATGTCTAAATTTCCTCACCAAACTGGGAAGGCCCATAATGTAATATCTTTGTATTACCTCCATATCCTAAGCTGTACTGAATGGTCAGTAAATATACAGATTATTAATTAATGCCATACATTTTAATTTAATCACCCCAGGGGAAATATCTAAATTAAGTAAAGAGCTGAGACATTTTTATATTTCAAAATGAAACTAGTAGTTGCATATAGGTGAAGTTTTAAAATTTTCAAAAGTACTTTAATTCTAAAAATCAAAATGAGTGATTTCCAGAAAAGAAAATATTCATAGGAAGAAATTTTAAAGTGAAACCAGACCATATTGTTTCCAAATTCAGATGAGAACTTACTATTAAAAATCTCACACAGATTGGAAATGACTAATCAACATTAGGAAAATGAAATTTGAAGATCTGCCCTTGTACTATTCATGGCTAAAAATGTTTTTGTGTCCTATTGTAGCAATGTTATTCCAGAGTAAAAGTTTCAGTGATTAGAACTGTTGGATTGGAAAAAATATCTAATTATCTAGTCTGTGCAGGATGATCTTGGGCAAATTGCTTGATTTCTGTCAGTCTCTGCTTTCAGTATCATCTTTAGCTAAGTCTTAAAGTCTGTCACATAGGAGAGGTATGAAAGTGTGGTACTAGGTATACTGTAGAAAGACAGCAATGTATAATAATAGAATTAAACTAGGATTTTTTGTATGGGTTGATCACTTCATAAAGTATATAAATGTCTAATCACTATGTTGTATACCTGGAACTCATATAATTAATATATGTCAACTATAATTGAAAAATATGTTTTAAAAAGATGCAAAGTTCCCACATCTATCTTCATACTAAGAAAAAATACTTTTCAAAGAACAATTTTTTTTCCTTTCAGTGCAATTATATAATATCAGTGGGGGAGTATTATGAGATGAAGTAGGAAGAGCACAGGAGCTAGGTTTTAGTATTAGCTTTGCCCTCAACTAGCTATCAGCTACCCTCCTCGGGCCTTGGTCTCCTCATAAGTAAGATGAGGGGGTGGAATAAATAGTCTGTTATATCTTTTTGAGCTCTGAAATTCTGTGTCTGTACCTTGTCCATATCAGATCCACAACTATAGCTCAACTATGCAAGTGTGACTCATCCTGGTAGAACCCAATCATTTCTATGGTATTTAGAAGACCATTGGGGATAAAATGTCATTTAGTTGTATTTGCTTAAAAGAGCTAACCTAAAATAATAAATGTTCATTTTCCTATTTCAAATGTAAAGGAGAGCTGACCAGCAAATAAAAACGTGATACTATATAGAGTTAGTTATATGACACTATTAATTACAGATCACTATTAGTGTTCTGGAAAAGTTCTGTTCATTAATGAATTTGTAATATTAGGACTACATTGATGTTAAATGACTCAAAAGTTGGACATATTGCAATTGTTTTACATGGTTCTATGGTAATAAGTCTTATATCTTGATGAACATTTCTGAATTCATAAGCACAAATGAGTGTTGCTATCTTTATCATAATTACCATGGAGGCTGATTGGTTTTTTTCATATATCATCACTAAATATATACTAAGCACCTACTATAGTACACTGAACCTACTATATTTAATTGGTGGCAAGTTAGAGAATTATAGTTATGAATCCATTCTTTTAAATGCTAGTGTATTTTTTTAAAAAATCATCTTCATTTTGATTCTGAGTCTCAACTACCTGTGCTGAGAAGCCATCAGTCTCAGTTATCTACCGCCGCCCCCCCCCCTGCCCACATTACACACACACACCATCCAGAACTATGCAGAAGCCCTGTATCTTGTCACTAGCCAATTACCACACTTAGTTTTCCCTGAGATGCCTTTTGTTCTAACCTTTGCAGATCCTGTGGGATCAAAAAGGGTCATGGAAATCTCTGGTAGTACTGGGTCCATTCTCGCTCAGTTCATTATCCAGCCAGCTGCTTAAATAGGGGTGCATTTTATCCCCATTTCTTAGATGAAACAATTGAAGCTCAGAGAGTTAAAATGATTTGATCAGGGTCATACAGGTGATAAGTGAAATTACCAGAGTAAACTGTTGGTATCAAATATGGGTTTGGCTTTTTAGATAAAGTATATCAGGTAATTTCAAATAAAGAGTTTCATGTATGTTTGGAGCATAAGATACACATCTGAACATATGTATAGATGAGACACAGGATTATTTTGAAACATTGAGATTTATTTGTTCTTATACATTTATTATGAAAAAAATGTGTCCAGTCTTCTTATTTTATTATCAACTTGTACAAATTTTAAAAAGTGGTCTTATGTCAAGTTAATGACCAAAAGAAGAGAAAACTAATTGGCTCCCTTTTCAATTGTAGTGCTGAGTGATTTACTATTATATTTGATGAGCAATGTATATTATAATTTTAAAAATGAAAATTGATGGCTCCAGTCACCTGTTAACCCAAGGCATATGATGGGGTTCACTTGTAGTTTCATAAATCCCCATTTGTCTCCCACTTTTTGTTTTGTGTTACACTTGACTGGAAAGAATAGATTTTTTTTTCCTACGGAAACATCCTTGATTGTTAGTACATCTCCAAGGGCATAATCATGATATATTAAAAAATAATCATGTAAATTATAATCATCTCACATTTTCCAGAGTATTCTTAATGATGAGGATTTTTCCTTTTAAATATTGATTGGGACTTTTCCTGGCTTGAGATAAAGTAATCATATGCAAATTATTTTATTTGATATACTCTTAGTTTAAATCCAGACTTAAAGCAAGGCTTGATATTGGGCCATAGCAAGAAAATAGTTTACAGTTTTGCCTTGGAAGTTATTTATTTAAATTACGCTAAACCCCTACCAAATTTACAAGTGGGATAAAGTATGGTGGGAGACTTTTATCCACTTGTAGATGCATAAAATAAGTATACAGAGTGGGAAGGGAAATTATTTGATCTTGAGATTTAAATGTGTAATCCTAACAACCATACAAATAATAAGACTTAGGATTGGTTTAAAGTTACTTTTTAAAATGATGAAAAATGTGTGTCGCTGTGCTTTTTGTGCTCACAGTAATAGAAGGGCAAGGTTGTTATGTTAGCACATTTATGTTAAAAGGCAGTGCTTGTACATTTTTACCACATGAACATCACTTATATTTTACATCCCTCCTCTTCTCAATTTTGATCAGAAGATTTCCTCCACATTATTCTTCAAATAGAAGTCTAACTTTTCTGAGGATTTGATCAGAGGCTGGGACTCAGCATGGGAGCTAGTATGGAAAAATCAAAGCATAATTGTTCCTTGTTTCTGACGAGCACTCTCCCTGAAGTAAGTTATAGCATTCAGGGCAGGGAAACATTTAAATCTATTACAAGAATTTCTCTTCTTGGACTTTAAAAAAGTTTTAAATATTTTTAATGGTCTGGTTTATAGTTTCTGTATTTGTCATAGTTTTCAATATTATTATTGATGTAATTGTTTTTATTTTCACAGTATCAGTGAAGCTTATTGAAAAGGCACGTTAATCTGAGAGCATAACTTTGAGGGGATGTGCTGAGGGTGTCTTTACTTCAAAATCGGCTATAACCAACTAACTTGTTCATTCATATGTTTCTTATGGTCAGGTCTGGTTTTTGCTTAACTCTGACCCATTTTCTTTACTTTTTTGTTTTGTTTACAATATATTTTTATTGATTTCAGAGAGAAAGGGAGAGAGAGATAGAAACAGTGATTAGAGAGAATCATTGTTCAGCTGCCTCCTGCATGCCCTGCACTGGGGATCAAGCCTGCAACCCGGGCATGTGCCCTGACCGGGAATCAAACCATGACCTCCTGGTTCATGGGTCGATGCTCAACCACTGAGCCGCGCTGGCCAGGCTGACCCATTTTCTTTATGGTCTGTCCAAGTAAAATAGCCAAGGAGTAGATTTAGATTCAATTAACTTTATTTTGTAACAAGAATGATCCTAGCATTTAAAGATCTGCACTCCATACATTATGTCCTGTTGTCCTGGGAAAATTATTACTGACATGTTTTTCAGTCTCAAAAGAATCTTGTTTTAGAAGAGAAATTATGTGTCACCTTACAAATTAGATAGATATTGCTGATATCTTTTGTCTAGACCTTTTTCTTCCCAAATCCTGGAGAAATCTAAAGGCACCGGAATTTTAAGTAACTCACCCAAAGATATACAGCTGCTTAGTGGCAAAGCTAGAATTTACCCCAAGCATTTTGACTTAAGCTTTGGGCTTTTTTCCAAGTCATTTTTGTTAATTTGTCAATTTTACAGGTTAGATTTTTAACTATTTAGATTTTTAAATATCCTATAACCATATTCTTACTGTATTCTTGAATATCTTTATGTTTAATATAAGACATTTAGAGAAATTAAGAAAAAGTGAAACACACTAATTGTAGGGAATCTCCAAATGATGAGAAAGTGTTGGAAATAGCATTACCAGCCAGGTGTTGGAAAGCATTAAGCTGGCAGCACACAGCACTGGCCAGTTTGACCTTATGGAGTGAAATGTAAATTTGTCATGAATTGGCCGGCCTGTGCCAGAGATTATCATTTTACTGATCCTCTGACCAGTTTTTTGGACTGATCACTCACATTTGATCCAGGTCTCTTGCATAGCAAATTGAACTCGGGGCAAAAATTATAATTGTTTTTGTATTTGCTATCAGCTCTGAAAATCATATGTTCTAGAAATTAAGATAGCTAACAAGAATAAGTTTTATTCAAGCTAAGTGGTAAATTTTCTTTTTCTGTGTTGGTTAGACTTTTCTAGATATGACATTTGGTTCAGGAGGACACACAAGAGCCATTCTGCAGAAAGAGCCAGATATTACTCTGTATGCTTTGGACAGAGACCCGACAGCTTATGCAATAGCTGAACAACTTTCAGAATTGTATCCGTAAGTATTACTCTTGTATAATTATTTAATTTGAGAGCTAAGGTTTACAGAGCTTGGTTTACCACCTTGGAATTTCTTCTCCCTAGTATGATGTTACACTTCATTCCACTAAGTCAAGGATGGGGAACATCAGGCCCACAAGCCTTATCATTTACTCTGGCCCTGCCACCGCATTAGGGGCAAGTTAATTAAATAGTTGACCAAATATAGAAGGCTGATTTTTTTTTTTTTTTTAGATTTTTTTATTTTTTTTTTATTTTTCGCTAAAAGTATTACAGAGGGTATTACATAAGTGTCCTTCCCCCCCCCACACCCTTGACAAGCCCCTGCCCTCCCTTACCCCCCAGTGTCTTATGTCCATTAGTTATGGTTATATGGATGCATACAAGTCCTTCGGTTGATCTCTTACTCCCCTCCCTCCTGTCCCCCAACCCTCCCTGGCCTTCCCACTGAAGTCAAGGATGGGGAACATCAGGCCCACAAGCCTTATCATTTACTCTGGCGAAAGTTTGTAATGGTCTTAATTATCCACAAAAGAGTGAGATCATGTAGAAGGCTGATTTTTAAGTTGATAATGTTATGTGGCCTGAGAAGGATGTTATAAATATCCAAATGGCCCTTGGCAGAAAAAAGGTTTTCCACCCCTGCAGTATTTCCTGTCCTTTATTGCCCTAAAGAATTAATGTAAATTATGTTTCTAGTACCACTTAAAATAATGATATTATGCATTTATTATTTCTGAATTAATAAGAATAAACACAACAATGACTTTTGGCTAAAATTTGATTATATGCTGAAATCCAACCATGAATAATATTTTGACAACCCATAGTTTAAAAAATAATTTTATGAGCTACAATTTCTAAGAATTTAGTGGCATAAATAAGTATGTGAGAATTCTGCAAAACTCATGAGGTTACATACATCAATGTAATGCAATTGTTTTCTCTGAATGCAATTTGAAATTCACAGGAAAATTTAGAGTTTTCTGTTACTCTGTTAGAATTAGTGAGTTTTCACTATAGAAATTTTAAAAAATATAAAATATTGTTGATAAGTGGTGAAACCATTTTCCTTTAGAACAAAATTTAGAATTAGTGTTATGTACATATGCTATGTTGTTTAAAGGCCATCAGCCTGAAAAACAAAACTATCTTGGAGTTAAGATGACTATCTCCAAATATTATCTAAAGGGCTATTACCAGGAATGGGGACTTGTTCTATTGTCTCATGCTCTAGAGATTGTAGTAAAGAGACATAAAATCATCAAACAGACTATGAAGCCTCAGAGGGAAGGCAGGGGAGGGTGGGTGGGAAGAGATCAATCAATGAACTTATATGCATATATGCATAACACATGTATACAGACAATAGGATGGTGAAGGCCTGGGTGGGGGGGTATGGGGGCTGGAAGAGGTCAATGGAGGAAAAAGGGCGAAATTTGTAATATTTTCACCAATAAAGATTAATAAAAAGGAAGGAAGGGAGGAAGGAAATGAAGGAAGGAAGGGAGGGAAGAG